GTGTCACCAGTGTGACAACATCCCTTCTTAGGAGAACCCAGAAATGAAGGCAGGAAATTGTAGGAATCGCTGGAAATTCTATGGCCACCACAGAGTTTCAGGCGATTCCTAGAGCTACCCACCATCACTTCCGGGTTTTACCTGCAAGTGATGTCACATGGCAACACTGTGCCCCACCATGTCCCCGTTCCCAACTCTCCCACTGGTTTCCAGGCTGAGCCTGGCAAACCTACAATGGAGCCAGTTACTTAGGCGGGGGGTGGTGGCTTTCCCTCACTGGAGGTCTTCAAAAAGAGGCAGGACACTCATCTGTTCAGGATGATCTAGCTTGTCAGAGAGCAACTCTCTAAACAGACACCCTCTTCCCACCGGCGTAAACTGCGGGGGGGCTCTGGGGCGCGAGCCCCCCCCCGAAATTTCCCAGAAGCCCCGCCCACCCCTCGCCCTCCCAAGCCGGCGCCAAGCTCCCCCGGGCCCCAGCTCTCATTATGGCCTCTTTAAGGCCCTCTGCTGCGGCGACTGCCCCGACTGCCGGCTCCTCTCGCTCGGCTCCTACGCGGCCGCAGTTCCCCCTCTCCATCGGAGGGCACCGGCCAGAGAGAGCCTGCCGGGAGAACCCGCCGGCGCCGGCCACGCTCGAACTCCACCGCCACGGGTGGGGATTGGGGGCTTCCTCCTCCCCTCCTCCTGCCAATCGCTGCAGCGTCTGGGGTGCCCCATGCCTGTCCGGCCGCCCCCACCCCCGCTCCCAGAAGACCCTCCCGGCCCGGGGCCGCCTCGTCTGCGGCAGGGAGAGCCTCACTCCCGGAGGGCGGGTGGGCGGGAGTCAGGAGGCCGTGGCAGAGCACTCCAGGGAGTGGGGGGTCCACCCTGCAGGCTGCGGCCAGTCAGTTGCCACCAGCAACAGGCCCCCCTCCCCCCCAGCCATCTGCTGGAAGGCAGCGGGAAGCGGCCTGGGAAGGGCACCTGCGGGGGGGGACGCCCTCCTCGATGCCTCAGTCCCGCCGGGTCTTCACACTAGGGCAGGAAGCGTTTTTTCCCCCTGGGAAAGGGTTGAAAGGGTTAAAATAGCCGAGCTTTTGCTAGTGAGGTCGAACAAGGGAGGACTTCTGGACGTGCGAAAGCAGGGAAAGGCTTGCAGCCGGAGTCTGGGAAGGTAAGGTTTACTCTCAAGTAGGTCCAGTCTCGGAAGACAGAAATTCAGACCTGGCGTCTGGGGGAGGGTGTGTGTATGGGCTCCCCTCCCTTCTCTTAAAGGTGCAGCCGTTCCATAACTTCCTTAATCTGCAAAATAATATTTCTGAATTTCTGCTGAATTTCTGCTGGTTCCCCCAGCCCATTTCTGCTGAATTTCTGCTGGTTCCCCCCCAGCCCATCAGGTTTCTAAAAACTTGGAATCCAGCTGCCATTCTCTCTCTCTCTGTTTCTCTCCTCCACCGCACATGGCCCGGCTGCTTTGCAAAAAAAGAGAAAATGTAATCAAACGTGCCCTTGACACAGCAAGGGGAAGCCAAGGCAAAGGGTGAAACGTGGCAGCGAGGGAGGGGGGTCGCCTTGATTTGCTGTGGGTCCATTCCCCCCTTATCTTCCCCCGCCTCCCTTTTCCTTTGCAAAAAAAAAAAAAAAGACACG